CCAGTTAATTGGACTATTCAATAGAGATGGCTAAGAAAGCATGTGCAAGGGGTAGAAAGCAGAAACCTGTCAGCAAAACTGTTTGTAAGCTACCATTTGCTGTTCTTGACATTAGAGAAATAGTAAATTAAACATTAGAAATGTCCAAAGAAATGTCGAGGCTTATACGTAGTTGGATTAAATATTTAGTTGATGTGAGATTAAGTTGATTGTGATTATCGCATGGGTATATTTACATGCCTGGATTATTCTTACTACTGAACATTATTAATGCTAATAGAAATGCATGCAGTGCTAGTTGCATTTCACTGTATCAACAAAACCACATAAACAGTTACATGGCAAAAATATGGAACTTACTAGAATTCAATTGTTTACGGCTATTTTGAACAATTCTTTAACACACGAATGGCTAAAACCATAGGACCCAAAGAACTCACACATTGGATCAAGGAAAATCCCTCATTCTTCAGTTCTTAACTAAGTACTAGCTCCCAAACATAAAAATGCCACAACAGATCCTAAATTCGCAAATAGTCAGCACCCAGTTCAAAACATAAAAAAATTCCAGCAATAAAATTCTAGATTTAAATGATTAGTCAGCCAAACCAAACCTAAAAAACTAGGAAATGAGCATAAATATATTTCATACCATATATACTCTCATTTAGACTCCCAACTCCAAAAACAAGACACAATAGTCTTTCTCTAGCCAAGATAATTAATACTAGCTGCTAGTATTTCACTAGGATACATCAAAACTACTTCCAATTATCCATCCTACATTCCCTTGTAATTTATGGTATTAATTTCCTGTTCTTTTCTGCTCTTAGTGTAGCGAATGATCGAAAATCAATCGGATTCTAATTCTCTACCTACAATTGCCAAAGTCAGCAAACTTAATTCAAATTTAGTTTTTAAAGGTTAATCAATTCTCTTCTACATCTTACCTAAGTAGGTGGTGATAAATGATCAAATCTGGACCCAGTAGCTTGTGAAGGACCATCAGCCTCTGAAAGACCAGCAGCCTGTGAAGGACCACCAGGTCGTGAAGGAGCAACAGTCTGTGATGGCGAAAAGCCTATAGATGCATACTGCTAGCTAAGTAATGCAATATGCTCTTGAAATCTCCTATCAAAAGCAGCCTCAAATTTTGAAACTCTCTGTGATACCTTTGACTGAATACGTGCGGTCTCTGATTGTACTCGCTCTGCCATTTCTTGCCGAACTTGTGCAAGCTCAGACTGCAACTGATGGACCTACGTCGTAAGCATCCTGGTGGTAGAGGACGAGGCCTCACTAATCTCATATCGTTGCCATGGTATGCCATGCTCTGCTGGGTCCTGAAGTGTGGACAATCCTCTCATCTGACCCTTTTTAGGGGGTCCGATGACATCCTTCCATATTTCTGGATCCCACCCTGGCCATACCTCCTTGTTTGGCCCATGCTTTTCCACATACTTTTGGTGAGCAGCATTCTATTTCAAATATAAATGTTCATTAGTTAGAATAATTTAAATTGTGTTAATATTAATTGATGAGAACCCCAAAGAGAACAATGAGACCCATAGCACAACAAGGGATTTCTAAACTCCAAGAAAACTAAATCAGGTTTATAATAGGACCTTGACCCATTGTTTATGTCGCAACAAGAACCAAAGGTAAAAACCTTGAC